GGGAAGGGCCCACTTGGTTAAAAGAAGAAATGGAACACTGGCCAAAAACGAATTTATGTTCCACAAAGAACATTGAAGATTCCAACAAGGAACTTAAGAAAAACATCGAAAGAAAGTTTTCGTACATGCATGCGTTACCGAACCTTCCAAAGATTTATTTAAAACCCAAAATTATAGCAATTTACACCGAATTTACTGAATTACTGCGTGGTGCTTAAGGTTCATCAACAATGTTAAAAATACCTCAAAATTATCAGGATGTTTGCAGGTTACCAAATTGGAAATGGCAGAAACTTATTGGATCAAACGTGTTCAGGAGCGAAATTTCACAAATGAAATACGGGCATTGAAGAGAACGAGGAATTAGGTTCAAAATCAAAACTGAAGTCTCTCAGTCCATTTGTAGACTGACAGTGGTGTAATTTGTGTTGGTGAATGATTAGAAAATTCAAATTTGGATTACAAACAAACACATCCAATCATGTTGCCTGACAAAGATCATTTGACTGATCTAATTATTCTTCACAGTCATCAGGTGGTAGGGCAAGGAGGAATAGCAGATACTTTAAAAATCAAATAAGAGATAAATTTTGGGTTGCTGAAGGCTCGTAGGAAAATTAAAAGTGTTCTGTACAATTGCAATGTCTGCAAAATATTTCGAACTGAAACCTGTCATGCAAGATATGGCACTCTCTCCCACCAGACAGAATGCCAAGAAGCCTTTCCGTTTGAGAACTCTGGGAATAGATTAAGCGGGTCCACTGTACGTCAAAAGTGGAAAGAGAATTATCTAAGACATACGTTTTACTGTTTACCTGTGCTGTAATTAGAGCCGTGCATTTAGAACTTTACAGCTGACCTTTCCACAGAAAAATTTTTGCTTGCATTTAGAACGGTTCATAGCGAAGAAGAGGTTTGTGCCGAATAGTGTATACCGATAACGCCAAAACCTTTAAAAGAGCGAAAAAAGAATTAGAGCTATTGAAGGAGGTGATGAAAAGCAATAAAGTTCAAGACGAGTTCTCTAAACAAGGAATCAAATGGAAATTTATGGTTGAGAGGGCGGCATGGTGGGGAGGCTTTTGGGAACGTATGGTTCAGTCTTTGAAAGCTGTTCTGAAGAGAATCTTAGACAAATCATCCTTAACTTTCAGGGAATTAGAGACAGGCATAACAGAAGTGGAAGCTATATTGAACTCCAGACCTTTAACATTTACATACTCGGATCTAGGAGAGCCAGAATCTTTGACCCTGGTCACTTCTTAATAGGAAGACGGTTGCTATCATTGCCGCAAGGAAGCTCTAAATTAACTTCAACAAAGGAGAGTCTGACACGTCGATTTAGACATCAACAGATACTGGTAGAAAGAATCTGGCGAAAATGGAGGCAGGATTATTTGATGAATTTAAAATCTGCTCATCATTCCAAACTGGCGAAAACAGGAACCTGTTTGAAGAAAGAAACTATTGTATTAGTGCATGAAGATAAAATTCCACGGCTGATGTGGAAGATGGGCATCATAATGGAAGTCTTTCCTGGGAGAGATGGCAAGGTGAGAGCCTGTGCTGTTCGCTTGCCCAATGGCCATACGATTAGAAGACTAGTGCAATTACTATATCCAGTGGAGCTGGAATGTAATAAGGACAATTACAGCAATTGTCCTTCCGGGCGGGAGGATGCTGTAACTCAACTCTTGTTGAGATCCGATGATGGCTGAGTGACGTCATCTCGAACTCGGAACGCTCGCCTAGAGATCACGAGAACTCGGAACTGAGAAGTCGCATGCTGCGTCGTGCGAACATTTAAACCTTTTCATTATGTAAATATTCTGTAACCGTTTGCTTCTTCATTAAATATGTTCGTGTAAAGAAAGTATTAATCATTTATGGATTATCCCTCTCAAGATTTGGCAGATGGAGTTGCACAGAAGACAACAACCAATGGCCCTGGCAGAACCCATTGGAACAAGGTAAGCAGTTTTGTTTTACCTTGATTAATTAGTTAGAAGTAACGATAATGATAGGATATAAATAATAATACCATGATTTCCACAGTAAACTCAAATGTAGCAAAATTTGCTCATCCCGCAGGCATGTGTTTTTCTTCCTTTATTGAGGAGTGCATCCCGTTTTTTCCCCGTTTAACCACTGAAATAAATTATATACAGTATTAGACGTTTAGTTTACACTTTGGGCAATACATATCGTTAATTGTCCACTAAATTGCGGCGTTTGAAGGCACGTGGTATTACCGCTCAAACTCCACTTTTTTCTTACAGAAATGGCTGCTAGAAAACATTCAGCAATTATCTTGATTATTTAATTAAATTATTGAATTATTAATTAGATTTATTGAATCTGGTGCAAAGACTGTGAAGTTGGACTTAGTATTGAACCCTGTTTTGAACTCTATCATACTAAACTGCATTTTCTAAGGTATTTTCCCCTCAGTGCTTTATATTTCCTTAAATTTTATACATTTTACTTTTTTATATTATGCAATAAATAGAAATTAACTGTAATTCGACTGAAATTTATTTAAAAAAAAAAAGATTTTTTTGGTTATAACATCTGAAATTGGTTTTTCTGGCAACTTAGTTTCACATGATAAAAATCTATATAAAAAATATTTTCTAGAAAGAAAAAGTGCATTTTTCAAATCTCCAATCTATATATAGATTTAAATTATGCCCCCCAATAAAAAAAATTGCCAATTTGAAAGCCATTAAATAAAACATTAATAATGCATAATGCTGCATTCCTTATCTCTTACATTTTACATCTGCTGTCAACTATAGACCTCTCCTCTTTAATTCATTACATAATCCAATGAAAGGGTCAACAGGTTTCAATATGGACTCTAATAAAATACCTTTTGAATCTACTAGCATAAAGGAAGCATTTGCCTGTGTATTAGGCATAGATTTCAGTACAATAACTATCAATAAGCAAAACTAAACGAAATTACCATTTTCACCCAACTCATCCATACTTCAAATGATCAAATGTACATAATATTTTGCATCATCTCTTAATTTGCTACAGACCTTTTAACTATAGTACAAAGTCAGAAATCCGGAATGGTCGGGACTTCGCCGATTCCGGATTTTTCTGGATAATAGATCATCAATTTAAATCTGGTAAGATGGCATGCAGAAATTATACAATTAAAAATATGAAATCATAATTTATGAAAAAAAAGAACAATTATGATCTAAAGGGTATCAAAATTTACAAAAAAAGCTTAATATTTATCTATTTACTTTACTAAACATTTCTTTCAATGTAAGTTGTTTAAGATGTTTCCACAAAAAATTTAAAAAGTTCCTTTTTCTTTGTCTCGTATACAGCAGACTTTCGCATACTCCTCACATAATTTTGAGACGGATATGCCTTTATCTATTTTTTGCAACAATTTCGCTTTTTGTTTAATGGACATCGAAACATGGTTTCGCTTTGTAGATCCTTTGGCAACTCCAGAATTCGAAACTCTTTTCAACATAATCGAAAGTTCAAGCTTAGTTTTTATAAAATTGCCATAATAATAACAGACTGTAAAAAATAATAAGCTGAATCAAATTAGAAGATCAAGGGAGCAGCGCAGTCTTGCTACATTAATTGAAATGCCTTAGAATTAGTAAACATAATTTTAGCCTAGATTAATAGCGTTTCGTTATACATTATTGGCTGTGTATCACAAGATTGGCAACGAAAGCCAAGTTGTTTTGCTAAATTTTGTCTTGCTCCTATTGTGTACTGAATTAAGCCTGAATTGTATTAGTTTAGTTATTTACTATACCTACATTTTTTTTATTGCACATGCTTAAAACTAATCTGAGTTCTGAATAAATAAACTTCAGGCTTTATCTAGGGCCGGCGCTCAATACCACTTGGTGCAGTCTCTACGGGTCCTAAATTCTGCTACAAAGCACTTTCCTAAATTTTAAATTTTCACCGTGACTAAACTTTGGATCCTAGTGCTTTCCCCAAATCATAAAAACTTCTCATCCCTTAATTTTGCCGCTCGGTGCTTCCACACATTCCAAAAATTTTGTCTTCCCTAAATTCTGCCATCCAGTGTCGACATATTCTGCCGCCGCTTCTGGGTTTATGGTGAATAATGTATCAGTTATTCTTAATTAAAATAGCACTGAATATAATCTTTTGGCCTATGAGTTTCATTTACAAAATCTATTTTTAGCATATGAAAAGAAATTTTTGTTGAACTTTCCTTCGTCAATATTTCTTAGAGCATTTAAAAATCTGTAATCATCGCCAAGCATAATGTTAGCATAAAAGGTTGCCATACTCTTGTTATTCAATTACTAATATAAAAAAAGTTTAGACTTCACTGCAAGAGTTATTACTGAAGCTATCATGTATTGATAAACATGCGGTGATGAAAGCAAAATATAATAAATAATGACTCGCCAGGTCGGCGTCAGAGAAATAAAATAGGTGAATGTTTCGGTTTGAGATGTATGCCCAAGTAGATACTCAGCTACGGAGCCAAATTATTAATCTCACAAATTTATGCTTACATGATTGCTTTTCCATAACAAGGTATTTTATGTAGTGTCTAAGTGAAATTAAGAATCGGAATTTATAAGTGGAAATCTCTACATGTTTTATTATGGAAGGAAAATTCAAATGCGCATGCGTTAAGCATTAATTTTTAAAAATTTTTTTGTGGCTTTGAGGTTAGGATTTTGGATTATTCCGGATAATGGACGTCCAGATTTCGGACTTCATACTGTATTACAATCATGTTTATTACTCTACCTACAACCATGCTAATTTTTATTGACAGGAACCTCTTTCTTTCATGTTTTCAGTTCTACGAGTAGTTAATGTAACAATTTAAAAAAAGTTACAATGTAGTAACTTAAATGTCAAGGAATAAGAGTCCAATAATAATCACAATCAAATATTTTTAAAATGCATATTCAGACAAAATAAAAATTTACCATTAAAAGCCATGAAAGATTATAAACATCTACCTGGTGTTTCAATGCGTAAATAATGGTAAGGATTGACACAAACTTCGTCTCTTTTCAAATTAAAAGCAAATTCACAACTTTCTATTGCTCTTAACTCGTGGTGGCTTTGTAAGTCTGGCCAGCGCCAAAGGCGGCAATAAATAACATGAGGGAGCCCTTTACGATGAGAAACTTGTAAGCGTCCGTCTAATGACCTGAAAAATAAAAATATATTAATTAGGAATTGTTTATATAAATACTTCTACGGACTTGCATTATACATACTGTACAATATATATGCGTGTAATTAAAGGTATATTTAACCCCTTTGCGCCGACTGTCACGTATACGTGCCAGCAACGAACACACTTACCTACCGGCCGACACGCAGGCGTGCCAGAGGATTGTTCCGTTCTCTACCGACTGTCCCGTATTTGTGCCAGTACTTTGGAACGTTTTTCAAACTATAATTTCTGCCACAAGATGGCACTGTATGTCCATATGGTTTCAGATACATGTAAATTAGACCTTCTACTCGAAATGAGAGAAGCATGACTCACATACACGTGTTTTTGATTATATAAACAAACGGGAAAATAAATGTTTCCGAATGGCCGTGATTTATGACGTCTCTTTAAATCGCACTTTATTCGCACGTGGTAGTTGTTTACTGTAAGTAGAGAAGTTTTATTTGCTCTAAAGCGTTGGGTATTTCGGTTTGCAGTTAAGTTTTTAGAAAATAATTAGATCTTGTTAGACGTGAATTCTTCGTTTTTACCGTTGCAATGTCGAAGCGTCGAAAATGTTTAACAGAGCATGAAATAGCAGAAATGATGCAAAATATTTCAGATATTGATTCTAAAATTCTGATATTCTGATATTGATTCTGAAAGATTAACTGAAAGACATTTTCCAAAACTTTGTTCAGAAGAGACTGATAAGAAAATGAGACCAAGATGCTTCGTTTGTTCACATTCCCGGAAAAATCCTCCAAAACGGCAAATGAGTTATTACGAGTGCAAGGAATGTAACGTAGGACTGTGTGTAGATCCCTGTTTTCAAATTTTTCATACGAAAAGAGAATTTTAAGTAATATATTTAGTTTTCAGATGTATAATGTTAAAATTCATAAAATGGTGAGTAATTAAAAATAAAATGTGTAAAATATGCATTTAAACAAGAAATAAGGTAATTAAAGTATATATATAAAAATATTATAAAGCATAAGCCATTTAAATACTCTATAGAGCATTATTAAACAATGCGTTGATACTTCGGAAATTTCATGGATTTAGGCTTAGTAGCAAAAAAGCCCCCAGCCCTGGAGAGACGCTCGCGTAAGACACTGCCGGCCTCAGCGATAAGCGCGTTTTCGCTACCCGGCTCGAAGGGGTTAAGGGTGATGGAATGAACCTTTTGATGAAGAAAAATTTCTGGCAGTTGCTGTCGTTATTGTTAATGCTCACATGTCTGACCTATAGTCAACCCAAGCACACAGAATTCCTCATGGCAAAGAGCGCAAGTTTATGCCTGTTGTTGGCAACAGCCTTGAGCACCTTACCAGGTTACAATGCAATTTAGCTCAGTTCTATACCCAATTTTGATGAAGAATATAGGGTATAGCGGTTAGCGTCACTGTCTGCTGTGTCAAAGGGCCCAGGTCATTGGGCGGGCCAGCAGTCATTGTCGTAGTTGAGATAAAAATTTAGAATACACAGTTGACATCTTTAACTGTTGACTGGATGATGGGTTAATGCATAATTTATTTTTTCGATATTCTTGAAAGATATTTTTTCACATCACTGCATTATGGTGGCAAATAAGCATCCCAGGATTTATCTGTGACATACTACATTTGTAAAACAACAGAGGAAATCAAGCAGTGACCAGACGATGTTAGTTTAGCAAGTGAGAAAAAGGGAAAAGGGGCGGCAAGAGGCAATCCAGAGTAGCTCAAATATTTATAAGCTCTGGATATATTGTTTCTATCTGAATTTTTATAGGTTATGAGGCAGTCACTCTGCCAAGAAATTTTATTGCTTTTCAGATGTTAGGAGGGGGACAAGTAGAAATCTAAAAAGGAAATTTAAACGTCAAATTTCAAATTGTTAATAATTTTCTGATTCAGTTTCAGATTTTAGCCCTGACATGTACATTAGGACATGTACATTTTTATCGAAGTTTTCTTATTATATTATTGTATTTTATTTTTTACTCTGTACTAATTTCAATCGTACATTTAAATTGCTATGCAACAAAACGCATAATTTTGTTCTACACTAAGTAAATAATTTTTATTTTTCAAAGAATTTCATTAATATATAATTCAGATATTTTGACGTTATACTGATTAGATTTTACAAGAGACTTCCAAAACACCAGAGCTCTAAAATTTATTGAAGAATGCTCTTCAAAAATTGCAAGAACTTTTCAAAACTTACATTTCAGAAACTTTCAACCTGCATTCTAATTTTACAATAGTTTTATTATAAAAATCTAATTTGGAAACATATAAAAATCTAATTTGGTTTTTGAGTTTTTTCCTCTTTAAAGTGGGGGGGAGGGGATATGTAAAATATAAAATATGAACTATGAAACTAAATCATTAACAACAAAAATCTGAAAGCTTTCAGATTTTATATTATGCCCAAAGAGGTGTAATATAATTTTCACGCCTCTTTGGGTGTAAAACTTGACTTTAACTTTTTGTGTATTGCTTTTATTTATTAAATATCTTTGCATTTAAACCACATAAGATTCAATTCAACAGCAATATTACAAAATATTTAAAAAAACAGTATATCTTTAGAATTTACAATAGACACTAAAGACATTTTTTTTTTTTTTTTTTTTTTTTTTTTTTTTCAATACAGTGTTGTCACTGCTTGCGTTGAATTCATCGAGTTTGTTAACCAAATTCATAAAAGTTTTACAAAATATGAAACAGATAATGAAACAAATTTAAAATTTGAGCTTCTAGGTGCTCATGTTCAGGTGAAGGATTATGTTATTCAAAATTTGATGGCTATAGGGTATTGTAGAATTTTATCACAATGATAGAAATATACATACATTCACGCAGATTCTTCATTATTTAATTTCTTTAAATATAATACAAGGTGATAATAGTTGGTAGCAAAAATTTAAAAAGTGATTCGTTATTTATAGTGAAAAGCCACAAAATGCCGTTTTGAAACTAACAGCCCTTCTTGGGCTATCTCCTTTTTGGGCCAAAAATTATTAACAACTGGCAATTAGACACTTAAATTTCCTTTTTAGATTTTATACATGCAATGCATCAAAATTTCTCGACGGTGCATTTATTTCGTAGCCAGTCAAATTCAAATGGAAACAACAGATCCGAAGCTAATAAATAGCTGAGCTGGGTCAACTTTATTTAACCTTTTCGCTTCTCACTTGCAAAATTAACATCGTCTGGTAACTGCTTGGTTTCCTCTATTGTTACAGAAATGTAATATGTCATAGATAAATCCTGGAGTGCTTATTCGCTGCTGTAATGTAATGATAAGGAAAAAGTATTGTTCAAGAGCAAATTATTCATGCTTCTTAATTATGCAGTTATGTCATCACCACCCAGTCATCATTCAAAGATGTCAACTGAGTGTTTTCCTAAATTCTCAACTACTACAAGGACTGCCAAGAGTCTCTTTTCATCAATAGGTTCATTCCATCACCACTAAATATGCTTTTTCATTACATTATATATGCATATTAAATATTTGTATTTCACCATTTTAAAAGATAAGAACCTTTACAAACTCTTTGGAAAACTGACATTTATTATAAGGGTGACTAACTGTTTTGTTTTCCTTGGGACCTCATCTATATTTAACCTATTTTATACTCATGCTTTCAGCTCCTGTAGAGACTTCAAAATTCTATAGCATTTTTTGTTAGCAATCCAGGTTAGTAATATAAAATAATTATTGTACCCAAAATAGATTTAATTATCAGTGGCATTAATACTTAAGTTAAGCATACAGTAAATTCCAAATATTGAATGATATAAATCTATTAATAAAATATCATAGTAGATAATCGCGGATTGTAGTAGATAATTGGATTACCATTTCGGCGTTCGAATATGCTTCAATTCTTGCCACATTCAGTTCATGTTGACTTTAATTCTCCAAGTACAGTCAAAAGTCGTTAATTTGGACACCCATAATCCGGAATGATCTATAATCCGGACCTCAAAGCTACAAACTTTCTGCGCATGCGTCGCGTTGACGCATGCGTGTAAGACCTTTACCGGCTGCGAATATTGCGTGTGCGCGTGCGCAAAATACGTTTACGAATGCGCGTTTAATGTATAACGGACGGGATAAGCTAAGCTAAAATTATATAATTATCTATTTCAGTTAATGTTGCAGATTGCGTTGTTCCTTAATCTTCGAATTGGATCCGGCTTATTATTTTTGCAGACTGTTAGAGCAATTTATAAAAGTAAGCTTGAACTTTCGATTATGTCAAATAGAATTTCCGATATATATTTACTAATATGTAAAGGATATACAAAGCGAAAGTATCTTTTCGGAGTCCATTAAACAAAAAGTGGAATTGCTGCAAAAAATGGATAAAGGCATATAATTTGTTTATCTAAACTTTAACGTTTGTTTATCTAAACTTTGTTTATCTTTAACGCCGCGGCGGCGTGCAATGAATTGGAAGTTGATCTGTCAGCACTATCCTTATCTTAAGGGCAGATGTTTTTATTTTATTTGGCTTATAATTGCTTACTCAATGTAGTATTTCATCTCGATGTACTCCGTCTTTGATATGATTTAAATCAAATTCCTCGTCATTATAATTCGCTTCCGATAGCGAAGAAAGTGACAGAGGTTATTGAAAACGAAAAAATTTCGATTGACAATTAGTCGGTATTCATCGACACAGCAATTATAGAACTTGAACAGCGGAACTTTGTAACTGAACAAGAAATTATGTCTGTTTATAGAATTAAAGAGAATGTATTATCACATAAAAAACGAAGCAACTTAAACAACTTACATTAAAAGAAATGTTTAATAAAGTAAACAATAAATATTAAGCTTTTTTTTTTTTTTTTGTAAATTTTGATACCCTTTAGATCATAATTGTTCTTTATTTTTAAATTACGGTTTCATATTTTTTAATTTTATAATTTCTGCATGCCATTTTACCAGATTTAAACTGATAATCTATAATCCGGAAA